AAAAAGTAATAATTAAATGAGAAAAATCATGTTCAGTTTCTTATAAATTTTGGTGTAGCAATATTTTGAGGTTGATTTTGATACGGTCAGAAAATTACTAAAACGATATCAACTATCAATTTCATTATCATACATTCTTCTGAGATTAATGTCATTTAAGGAGTGCGACCTTTGTACATTTTTCAAGAAATCGTGTTTTTTATTGACTTAAACGATCTCTTGAATAGCTAATAATGATAAAGAAAGACAATTATGGACAAGAAAAAATTTTAAATAGTTAACGCAACATAGTTACAACATAATTATAGGGTACTTACGGTTTTTGTAAACGACTCAATATTGTTATAATCCTTGAGATTGTCTTTCCTGACAACAACAACAGTGTAATTAAGTTTTAACTTGATTAGCGGAATAACGCCAAGAACGCAAAGCAAATGAGAGCTCCTTCAAAACAAATGAAAGCTACAGCGTTGGTTAAACAAGTAAGAAAATTATACTCGATTTTGGTCAATCTTTTATACTCACCACCGTCATCCTAAAAAAGATAAAAAAAGTAAAGTTTTCATGCTCTATAATATGGACTGGGCGCGGTTGATTTTTCTTACTTTCAAAGTAAAGTTTTTGTCGCATACAAGCGTGGGCGTATAGTAGGGTATAACTTTATTATTAGTATTAAATTATATAGATTGAAAAAAACTTCCTTTTAGTCGGAATAGATAGCAAAAAGGTTTGACCACTGCACATTTTAAGGGATTTATTCTCACTAACAAAAACCACGAGACACAAATAGAAAACCGTATAGAAATACAATATGTTCATTCCCGATTATACATGAACGTTTGTGTGATTATAAGCATGTATGTCTTTCATATTCCATATTGCATTTAAATGTCTTCTAAATCACGATATGTTTCTTTTAGTCATAGTAAAATTGTTTGGAAGCGTTTATTGTTTTGAGTGTTTTTCTGATAAAATTTTAAGCTCTAACTTAAATAAAAACAATTATGACAAAATTAAAACAAAACATGTTTAACTGCATACATATCATATTAAATACATTTAAAAATAATAATTAAATTTTTTTTTTTCTTGCAATTATTGAGGCACGGAATACATTACTTCAGCTCTTTTGCCCGCAATAACATGTTTGAAGGAATAAGAAGATTTTTTAATAGAAAATCGGTCCTCTTTCGCAATAATTCTTATTTTTTTAAACTCAATAAAAAAACTTTCCCTCATTAATTTAAATTCTATTATGTTATGTTGTGAACATAAGCATATGTAGCAGAAGGTTACAATGATCTGACATATTATTTTTACTTCACCTGATGCATTAATACGAGATTATTTAATTGTGGAAGTGTTCATGCGCCAGTAAGGTGCATCTCTGGGCTGAAAATGAAGTTGGCCCTTCGACTATCTGGGTAACAGTTTTCCGGGCAGTTCCGAAGGTTGATCAAAATGACCCAAAAGAAAATGAATTACAGGTATTTAAGGGGCCTTTCATAAAAAAGTCACCAAAAAAAAATCTTAAAACGTTACATACTTTATAATTACTTTTTTGACGTTCGAAAATTCCGAAGAGTCAAAATCACCCACCCTTTAGTTTTCGCCGACGGCCGATGTGTGTGCATATGTATTTATTTTTCATTTACGTTTAAAATGAAAAAGACGTATAATAAGCAAATGTTGAAATCCTTTTGCGAAACTCAATTCCCGTTTTCAGCAAATTGCAAAAATCATTACATTTGCAATTGCATTGTCGAATTCACTACAGTGCACTGGTCCTGTGCTTATGGGAAATGAAGCCTTTTGATACAATTCCAGGCAAAAAGAATTAGAGAGAAAGCAAACTTTGTCAATAGGTGTCAAAGACTTCCGCTTTCACTTTCTAAATAGATGTAAGTTTGTCTCTCTGTCCGTCCCCTGCCCCCCGTGGTCGCAATTTTCGAGTTATTTTGATGAATGGAAAGCTATCGAACCACTTTTTCAAGCAATTTTCATATACCACCTAACTTCGAAAAATCGTGGTATAAATAACTGTATTAAGAGAAGTGGTGTAGGGCATTAAATAGTGTTTTTACTTATATTTGTTATAGTAAGAAAAGAAAGGTACTTAGACTGGGAGACAAAACGATAAATGGTAAGTAAGAGAGAAAGATAACCACTCAGTTCATATCCCACCGAGAAGCAAATTTAAGGCTGTTTAAGATTGTTTAAGACTGTTTAATAATGTTTAATAAGGTTTGCATGTTTAACTTTACTCAATTTTGAAGTGTTTAAGACTCTTTAAGATATATACGCGAGAGATGTTAAAAATTTAGATTTCTCGATTTCTCATTACTATACTAGTAGGATATTTAATATTTATATTATATTTTAATAAATTTATTAACCGATATCTGACAATGTAGATCAAACAATTAAAATTAGTTAAACCCTTTTACCAGCAATTATTTTATTATTTATTGCTTTCCCATCTCTACAATTATTATATCTACTTGAGAACATTAATAAACTTTCTATTACCTTAAAAACTATTGGAAACAAATGATATTGAAGTTACGAATATTCAGATTTTATTGGTATTGATTTTGATTCTTATATAATCTCTTCAAATGAGGTAAATATTAATAGATTCCGCTTATTAGGCGTTGATAATTCCCCCTATTAGTCTATTACCTTAAGTTGTGTCCTAAAAAAATTATTTTACGCTGCTCAATGGCGATGGTCGTATCTCTTAGCGGAGTATAATCACACGCACCTGTAAAAACACAGTGGCTACCATCAACTGCTCTCATGGGTTGTAAACCCCGGAAAATGTTTAACACAAAATATTTACAGCGGTGAAGAGTCTTAGAACGTTACGCTTGTGTTAGTTATACACAAAGATATAAAAAGACGCTAAAAGTGATGTCTTTCTTCTCGATACTAATTGCAGAAAGAGCTGAAATATTTGCAGTACATAAACGAAGACAGTCGCTAACGCCGCTGAGCAGGATTACAAAATTGCTAAGGAGACACCATCCAGATTTCCAGAAAAACTATGCCCAGTCTCCATTTAAAAATATTTTCCAAAATATATCAATGTACTCACATGTAATTCCAAATATTATTTCAATTGCTTAATTTATTAAACACTAAACGAGTTTTTTAAAAACAAATTTTTGATTTAATTTTGGTAAAACTACATTCTCTTTAATGACCTATTGTATTAAATATTACATTAATTTTTAATATAGCACAATGTCTCTGCAATTTTTTTATATATTTTGCATTATTTAATTTTTCAGTTTGCCAAACTTTTTCTTGTACTTGCGAAATTTCACAAAAGTCGTTAGCTATTTTTTTCCTTTACACCATTTATAAAAAAAATATCATGTGTGGAGAATGGAGAGAGCACAGAATTGCTTTCAATAAATAAGAAAAATGATGGATAAAAAATCTTAACAAATTTCGACAAAATAAAGGGATAGAAGAATAATAATAATAGAATTCGTAAACAAACGAAATAAAAGAACATTTGAATAATATAATAATAGCATAGAAAAATAAAATAGTCCAAAAATTGAATTAGAGATGTGCACAAAGGTGTTCGCCGTCCTCATAATTCGTCCAACCATAAAGAAAAAAAAGATTAAATTAAATAAATAATCAAATAATTAATTGAATACAAATTATTGTATAGCTGCATGTTAGTGCGAACTTTTAAATTAGAACTTGGTAATTGTAAGACCTCCCGCAGAACGTTGGCTGCCCCCTCGGGCAGTTTTAGTGTAAACGGATCTTATAATTCTACACCAACATCACGCGGCGTTCTTGTTTCGCTTTATCACTTTTTTACTCAATCATTTTTTGGTTTTCTTTTTCTTTATTTGTTAGATTGTAATGGCGTTTCTCGGATTCTCGAGTAATTGTTGGTATTCACTCGGCAAGTTTTTCTCTCCACTTTTTCATTATCTGCTTTAATTTAAATCGAAAACAACGTCTATCCAAAAGGTAGACAATTTTTAGCTGAAAGTTAGCTTTTACTTTTGTATTGAACTGTTTGGCAAAAACAGCAAAATATAAAAGCGAAAGCTAAATTTTTCATACGTGAATGTCTCACATTTCTTTTTTGTTAACACTCGAGCATTGATATTAAAGGACATATATAATATTGTATTCATCGCGAACGTGACTTTCTAGTATTCATATACGTCACTCTTTCTAAACGATATACGAGCAGTTATTTCAACTGCAAAGTGTTAATTTATAGCCATCTACTATTAAGTTAAAATAAACGTTAATTAAGAACAATGTCTTAATATACTAGATAATGCCTATAACGCTAAAAACTAAAATAGAATCAAACAAAACATAAACAAACCTGTTTAGATAGAGGGCATAGAGAGAGAGGGAGAGAGAGAGAGCGAGAGAGTGAGAGAATTTGCGTAATAATAGTGAGTGAAAAGCGCTTAGCGTACCGTAGCCGTACAACAAGCATCGGCTTATTGCATTATAAGCATATATGTATAGAAAGATTATAAGAAAATTACATAACGAGATAAATAAGTAGGCAGTCAATCCTTTGCAATCGCCATGAAAAATGATGTTATACTTAGTTCAAGGCGATTTTTTCAATATAAAACGTAGACAATCTAAGCTAACAACTCTGTGACGGAGAAAACAGAAAGAGATAGTGGCTTTGAGTAAGAATTACTTTCAATTCCTTCTTTGAAATTGCTTTCACTTCATCACATGATTATACCACCTAATAAAAAGTTCTTCTTCTTTTAAAATTCATCAAATCAACAGTAGGGAGGTAATCACACAATTGAAAATTAGCTGTTTGGCAAAAATGAATGTTAATTCTTAGTACATAATGCCTCCTCGATGTTTTACTGTGTTAAGGATTAAATGCAGACACGAAATCTAAGCTTTAATAAAATCACTGATTGGTTTCGATTATAAATATCTCTTTATTTTTTGCGTGTTCTCACGTCCCCCATGTAAATATGATCATTTATGAGAAAATTAAGTAACTTTTCAAAATATCTACGTGAGTTTACTCGTCGCTTTCTATGCGCTCAACGTAAATGTCAAGCAAGAAAATATTTTTATCGGTTTCCAGCCTTTTCAAAGATTTATTTGGCAATACTGAAAACTTCAAGTGATAATGTGGGAACCGTCAAAATGAAGACATATTTTCTAACTAAAACAGAAAAAAAGTGTGCTGCTGATCTTTTTGCTTTCTAACAAAAAAAAAAACGGTGAAAAGTTTATATAATTATATCAACACACAAATAGTACTCCTAGACATTTCAAGCCATGTTTTTATAAAGCCTGCACCGCGAGACACAAAAGTTAATCTTGATCATAAAACAAGTTAGAAAAATCTATAAATGTAAGTACGATTGAAAATTGTATATTTAAAACAATAGCAAAGATCTAATAATAGTGAGAGGTGAGTTTTTCATATAAAAAAAAAGAATTTAATTTTCCTCGTGAATCAAGTTTATTAACACATGAATGTGAAAAAGGTTACCGGACTTGCAAGAAAATCGATTTTCCCTAAGCCGGTTTGCATAGGATAATAAAAATTTTAGCGTATAATGAAAAATCTTAAAATTAAATAAATTTCTTCATATTTCAGTTATTTTGAAGAAAATTATTGAATTATAAAAAATAAATCTGAGCAATAATGGTTGCTTTCGGTTCTACGCAACGTAAAAATGTGCGTATATTACTTGTTGGCGATCAAGGAGTTGGCAAAACATCACTTATATTATCTCTAGTTAGTGAGGAATTTCCTGAAGACGTGCCGCCAAAGGCAGAAGAGATTACCATACCAGCCAACGTTACTCCCGAACAAGTGCCCACCAATATTGTGGATTATTCTAGTAAGTTAATATATCAAAAATTGCGATATTTGGGTCACGTTCTTTCTTTTCCTAAACTTTTGATCAGGTACTGAGCAATCTGATGATATTCTTAAAGAAGAAATTGTTAAAGCCCATGTGATTTGCATAGTTTATGCAATAGACGATGAGGATTCATTGGAAAGGATTACCACCCATTGGCTACCACGTATACGCGGTGCAGTGGGAGAAGATCAGCCGCAGAAACCCGTTGTTTTGGTTGGCAATAAAGTTGATTTGGTGGATTATTCAACTATCAACGTAAGAATTATATATCGCTAAGGCTTATCTTTGTTAGCATTTTTGGTTCATTACAGACTGTCCTCGGTATCATGGAAAGGTTTTCCGAAGTTGAAAGCTGCGTAGAATGTTCGGCGAAAACTTTACATAATATATCTGAAATGTTTTACTATGCACAAAAGGCAGTATTGCATCCCACATCCCCGTTATATATAATGGAAGAGCAGGACGTAATTATTCACTAATTTCATCGAGTTTTGTCCAAAATTTTTATACTCACCAAAGGATATCGAAATCTTTGCAATGTCCAGAAGAAAGATTTAAAGAGCCCAAAAGTGTATTCGTTCTTGACTAAAGTCAAATTACTTAGTCAATCTAGGCATTCCTGTCCGTCCGTCTGTGTGTCATAAAAATCTTTTCGAATTCTTCACAAACATTAAGATAGATTCCGATTGCAAATTTAGCGAAAATATTGAAAGTTCTTTGATGCAGGTTGTTGTTAAAAATGAACGTGTGCAACAAAATAAAACCTGGAAAAAATGTGCATAAGTAAGAATGAACGATGAAAATTTCACATGCATTTCCACACGTAGAGGTTAGAAAGCTACTATGAAGATCGCTCACATCCGCTCAAATGTATAGTCTCAAAAATTTTTTTTTTTTGTTCTTTTTATATTGAAGTTGGTGGGTATAAAAAATCCGGGCATAGGAAAGTAATGTTTTTTCATTTATTTATTTTGCAGTTAACTCCTGCCTGTAAGAAATCTTTAGTGCGCATATTTAAAATATGTGATATTGACGGAGACAATTTGCTCAATGATTATGAGCTCAACCTCTTCCAAAGACGTTGCTTCAATACTCCACTCCAACCGCAAATATTGGATGAAGTCAAAGCTGTTATTCAAAAAAATATTCCCGAAGGCATTTACAACGATTCCGTAACACTTAAAGGTTTTCTCTTCTTGCACTGCCTATTCATACAGAGAGGTCGCAATGAGACAACATGGGCTGTTCTAAGACGTTTCGGCTATAATGAGCAGTTGGAAATGTGCAAAGATTATTTAAGGCCTTCACTCAAAATACCGCCTGGCAGCAGTACAGAATTATCACATCGAGGTCAACAATTTTTGGTGGCACTATTTGAACGCTATGACAAAGATGTCGATGGCGCTTTATCACCGGAAGAGCATCGAATGATATTTAGCACATGCCCCTCCACTCCGTGGTCATATTCGACAGATATACGAAAATCCTGTCCCGTCAATGAAAATGGTTGGGTTACTTTACATGGTTGGTTATGCCGTTGGACCTTAATGACGTTATTGGATGTTACAAAAACTATGGAATACTTAGCTTATTTGGGTTTTAATGTGCATGAAAATGACACACAATTGGCGGCAATCCACGTAACACGAGAGAGACGTATTGATTTAGCCAAACGGCAAAGTAGTCGTTCGGTATATATATGCCATGCAATCGGTCCAAAAGGATCTGGCAAAACAGGATTATGTAGAGGTTTTCTCTTGGATGACATGCGCTCACTTATTGGCAAAGAATTCAAAACCAATGTTAACTACTGTGTCAACACTGTTCAAGTATAAATTAAATATATATTTGTAGTAAAATTCACTACAAGTTATAGCAATTCTAGGTTTATGGACAAGAAAAGCATTTAATATTACGGGATATTGATGTCAAACATGCCCTCGATCCATTGCAACCGCAGGAGGTAAATTGTGATGTTGCTTGTTTAGTTTACGATACTTCCAATCCGCGTTCGTTTGAATATATTGCACGCATTTATATAAAATACTATGCGGAAAGTAAAATTCCAGTTATGGTTGTTGGCACCAAGGCTGACCTCGATGAGCGACGTCAAGATTATTTGCTCCAGCCAGCTGAATTTTGTCAAAAGTACAAATTACTGCCGCCACATTTTTTTTCACTCAAAGCAAATAAAAAGGAATTATACGTTAAACTGGCTACCATGGCGGCTTTTCCGTAAGTACTTCAAATCATTTTGTATGCTTTCCTCATATGTTCGATGATGTTGCGCTCTACTAAAAAGTGTATCTGAAAAATATGTTTTATCTCTAAAATGGCTTATGACTGATATGACTAATCTTTTGCAAAACAGATAAAAACAGATGAAAAGTTATTCTTAAAATTAAGTGAGAGTTTCTATGTATCTTCAATTAGTTAAAACATTTGACGTACATGCACTTCCCAATTTATTTCTAAAACTTTTTATAAACGTAAATGAGTTGCTAAGTTATGTGATATCAAAATTTATAAAAAAAGGGTTGATTGACTAAACTAAGCAACTACTGCGCGAGCCAACGTCGTCTAGAAATCGTTAACTGTTGTCATTTAAAAAAAGAAGCAAAAACGCTATTGTCATTAAATACTCTACGTCACTTTGCTAAATGTAGTTGTTCATATAAGGACCTTTCAAAGTGGCAGAAGAAGTGGTCCGTTTCCAACCATTTTCAATAGCACTCGTCCTTGGGCCAAAGCACGTGTATGCGCCTAATTTAATCAAAATATTTCAAAAATTGAGATGTGATTGTGGTTGATCACAGCAATGCAAGAGGAGTGACTAATAGACAAACAAACTCGGAACAATTCAGTTAGTGACTTTAAATTATTCGGCATAATAAAAGATGGATCTATCTCAACTCCTTCTAACGCTTCCAAAATGTATATTCTTGTGCCACACAACGTGTAGGATATAAATAGAGTATAGTACACTTTCTCTCGTATTTGATCCAACCAGTGCGTCTGGCATTTGAATGAAAACGCATCCTATTTACTGTAAGCATATGAAGTTTTGTTTTTTTAATACATCTTTCCCATCGGTAGACGTAAATCTAACAATTTTCTCTTGCATTTACGAGATACATATAAATTTGTTCCCAGTCGATTTAGACATGCATGGGTTGGATTCCCAAATTCGCGGAATTGAATTATATTATAATTATCATATTCCCCCACCGAAAGATGGTTCTATATTCCTTTTGTTGAAACGTTCACAATACCTAGAAGGGAGCTTTAGTGACACTATAAAAGAATATATGCATTCTTGATTGACATATAAAACTCTGAAACGTTTTAAAACGTCTTTCCGTCTATATGGTTGATACGATAGATATTCTCCTGGTCTCGAAAAAAACCAATTTATCGGTTTGAAATGTGGCAGAAACATTGCTGTAGACTGGTATTGAAAATAGTCAAAGAGCTCACCCACACCACAACGTCAACTAAGAACACCTCTGTTTGTAAAAGTAAAAAAAAAAGAAAAGCAGCACCTAAGAACTTCCAATGTTTCCGCTAAATTTGAAGTCGATATCTTTATCGGAAATCGACAGACAAACAGGCTTAAAGCGATTCAGGATTTGATATTGATCAAGAATATATACACTTTGTGGGGTCTCGCTGTAGCTGGCTTCTGGATGTTGCAAAAGATTTGACAAAATGAATATGCCTTCACACTTTGGTAATAAATATAAAAATATTAAAAAAACAAAAGAAAAGAATTGAAACAATAGTAGAAATCAAAGAACACAATCGTTCTCGTCAGCAACTGTAAAAATATTTTATTCGCTGGAAGAATGATCGCAGTTCGCTTTTGACTGAGAAACTCTATAACTTTCCTTGTGAATTTTGCATTTTCATATGATTTCACAATCAGCTACATGACTCCCTCGCTAGGTATACAAAATGTAATGAATTTCGTATCATCGTTAACTCAGCCACGTACAATCACAATGCACTCTTCACGTTCTGCATTCCATATCATATATCACTAATAAAACCTTATTCGAATTTTTCTTCCTGTAAATGTTTTAAAAGAAAAAAAGGCCGAGATTTAGGGCAGCTTGTCGTGTCGAAGTATTAAAGGACCTCAATGTCAATAAAATATAAAAGTATTTAAAAGCCTACATTAATCATCTGGTTTTGTTTATAAAAGCCTTATCGTCTTCCCTGTTGGTATGCTCAACAGGTGAAGACTTTAGTTGTTTAGGATGCTTTAGTAACAATAATTTTAGGTATCATCAACGTATTTTATTGGTTAAATTAGCCTAAAGGCTTAAATGAATAGCTTATATGTGAAATTTTTTTCCTGTTACTACTATTACTAATCTACTTTTAAACGATATCTGATAAGTTGACGAGTTTTCTATCTGACGATTCCAATATGGCATAACTCGAGCATTTTCATCCATTGGCGCTCGAAAGACAGACGTAAAGAATATCTTACATCGATTCAAAAAGTAAGTCTGAATTGATCGGTACCTCATGACTTTCTGGACGTGTTGCATACATCGCCACTAACTTAATATATCCTTGTATCTTAAGCGAGGTAGGGCCTAAAAATGAAAAACAAACTGCAGCAGACGAACATAGGAAGGAGCGATGTACACGAGCTCGTACACAGGAAGCCATAATTGGCTGTATAAGGGGACAAGTCGGGACATTATGCGGGACGCCATGAAACATCTTAGCCTAAGAGGAAAATTATTTCCTTGGTTGATTTCGCGGGAGATGGACGGTCTTACGTGAACTTTATCGATTTCATGACTAATATTCTGCATCCGGAATTTCACAAAGCACTTCCTAAGTGTTCCCTAGCTTATTGCGTTTTCATTCCAAGGCAACTTAATCACCTCCTTCACCACCACTTCATGTGTTGTGAATGCAAACTGAAACTTGTACCGTTCAAACATCAATATGTATGTATTCTATCTACAGCTGAAATTTTGGGAAAATTGAACACTTCAGGTGCGCTTTATGCAGCAATCACTTTCAGGGGAACGAATTCATTTGCATAACATATATATGTGTAATACATATTTTTGCACTGCTTTTCATCTGTGTCACTTTGAAAATTCGGTCATCTTTGGATGTCACGCTGATCGGGTTCGCTTATTTAGGGGTTTTTTTTAAATTGTCTGGGAACTGGAAATGAACGGACAACAAATATTTTTTTCAATCTTGATTTTGAGCCCATTGATTTATGAAAGGAGCAAATACCATCGGCTCGTGTGAAGATAGAAATGAACGAAACATATTCATTACCGGGATCGGAATGTTTGTCGACATGTATTTGAGTTCATCGCTACTTCGTAGCACACTATGCCTCTTGTGCTGTAGTATTGTTAACGTATGATTCTAACTGGGTAGCTATAAAATATTTCAGAAGATTATATGTATTTTTAAAATGTTGTGTGCAACATGACTTGGCTGAACTACTTCAAGGGCTTGAGTAAATTAAATTCGTGATATAATTTTTGTTTTTTATTGTCCAACGTGGCATAGTCATAATTAAAGATGTTTAACAATTTTGTACTCCTGGAAAGATTTAAAAAAATAACTGAATTCCTTCTTTTTTCTCTCCTTTTTTTATTAATTTAAATTATATTTTGCTGTTTTTTATGGTGGTGTGTATGACGGTAAAACGATATGACGGTAAAAAAAAACATTGATGTGACTTTTATATTTATAAACTCACACATGAAAACACCAACATTCACATGTACACAACACTTATCCATCACAAATCAATAACAATAAAAAATTAACGCGGGGGATGCCTGTAGACGTTTTCAAGCCGCCTGGATATTGTTTTATAAGCACAGGTTGGTACAGCTGTGGGAAACGGCGTAAGTTGAAGTTCCTCTTTTTTTTGCCAAACATGTATATAAATATATTAAAAATCGAATTCATTTCCTTCTTACTCCCCCCCCTCCCCCCCCCCCCTTTTTTTTTTTTTTTTCTTTATTATTACTTTTAAAGCAATTGCTAAAAAAAACAAAGCCATTTTAACTAAAATAATAAAAAAGCAAAATTCTAGCTCCAAAATAAATGCAAATTTATATGAGATAAATTTTTTTGTATGGATTCTTGTTGTTATCCGTAGCTTTTAATATTATAATTAATTCTTATTCAAATAATTTATGAATTGTGTTACATATTTTCTTGTTTTTAATATTCATTTTTAACGTTCTTTTTTATTAAACTTGCCTTGCTCGCCCACCAGCAGAAGAAAATACAAAACTGATTAAGTCTATTATTCCGGCTATAAAGGTCAGAGATTTTTAAAACATTTGCACGTGTCTATCGGTCTGTTCGTAGATTGTGAGAAACCCAACGCACAAAATGCATAATCACCGTTGGCACCTTGGCACGTACAGTCTCCAAATCGATTATCTCCAGCACACAAGGACATTTTCCTTCAATGTATTATAAAAAGAAAATATTCGCTTTGTCTTATAATTCTCAAAAGATGTTTCATTAATAATCCTTTGTTTATTTTTATACTCTCCGCTACTTGTGATAGAAGCATGTATCAAGTTTGTGCGGATGTATGCAACACTTACAAAGAGTTATGATAGATACCACTTTAATAAAATACCAATCGATTCAGAATCATTCATGGAATCGTTTTAAGTTTGTCTGTCCGTTCAACTTTGTGTTTTGTTTTCTTGATATTTTCTTGAATATTTTGATGAAATTTGGTACACTGATGTGCTTTGGCAGAATGATGGACGCTATTGAAAATTGTTCGGATCGCACCATTTTGAAAGGTCCTTATATATGAATAAAAGTCCACTGCATACTGTTTTTATTTGCTACACGTTACATAAGAACGAACTTACTGAACGAATAACTATTTAAGAATGTTCTCATTATTTATCCTGTGGGTGGTGGGTGTTCAAGATGAAAATACAATTCTTACTTTTTTCTTTTTCGCCTTATTTTCTTCATCGTAACATTTGAAGCATGTTCTAATTTCATTGAATTTTCACTCGGAAGGAAAATATGTATATAAAATATATTTTTCTCTTTTATTTCATTTTACAGACATTTACGTCAATTTGGACTTATGAGCGACGATCCAACAATTTGGTGGAAAGCTGGCCTGGGAGTGGCTGCCGCTACCGTTCTTGGGTTTGTGGTCTTACGTACTATCCAGGGCGTAAGTAGTTCGTCGCACTTCTAACTGTTGTCGACAGCTAATCACATATGTAAATATAATATTTTTGGAGTATAAAGCAATTTTGGAAATTAAATGAATGCTGCAACAATGTATCCTTTGCTGTCCCACAGCTATTAAATTATTATTCTGCATAAAACTATTCATAAATATACAAATATTCATACATTATATATTATATATATACATATATTTTTATATACTAAATGTAACAATAATCTCTAAACTATATCAGCACGTAATTAGATGTAAATAATTAATAATTGCTTTGTTAATTAAAAAAAAAAAAAAGATCGATAATCCTTTAGTCAAAAATTTTTCGTTTAGGTAATACTTATAATTGGAGTTAACTTCAAAAAATAATACCAATGATTTATTATTTTAGTAAAAAGAAAAAAAAAAACACTATTTATTCCTACGTATATTTTTTTTCTATTTCGCATTATAATAAAAAGGAAACGTAATACTTCCGGATATGGATTTTCTTATTGTTTAACGTTATTATTGAAAAGAAAAAAAGAATATATTCATTGTAACTTTTAAATAAATGATAAATAAGACACTTTTACTTTTAGAAAACTCTCACATTTATTGGAGCATAATTGCAGTCGCTGGGTTTAAGAGAAGAAAAGAAAATGTCAAGAGAAGAAGAGCTCGTCGTCCAGATTGGTATCGTTACGCAGGCGAACACTGTGATTTAATATATTTGTGTCGAAAAACTATAATGTGAATATTTACCAATGCCAGAAGGACATGCTAACTACTTCAATTAAGTCAGTGATACGCCAGAGTCTTGTATATTAAACATTATATTAACTAATACTAAGATGCAGTCAAAGTATTATAGTTGGCCACGACCCACCATTAAATATCTTTATATATTTATGTACAGTCGTTCCACGTAGGAAATAGTCGAAAAATTGATCGGGTCCGAACCACTTTCAATCGCGTTCATCCTATAGCATAGGTCTACTTCAAGTTAAGTTCTGATCCTTCGACTCCCAGATGATTGCAGTTTTACGGGACTAGAAAGGGGCTTCTTATATTAATGTTATGTGTGCCTATATACTTCTGTGGCTGAACGTTAATTTATTGTCCTCAGCTTGATACTGGAATGCGTTACAGCGCATCATGACGACTTTTGATGATTCCTTGAGGAGAGTCTTCTCTTCCCTAAACAACTATTTTGTTTCTCATGCCGGCAATTAACGACTGCTAGTAAGGTTATCTTTCCAAATATTTATGAACGATTACGTGCGTGCATGCGACTCTCACAGATTGGCTATAATGTGCTTTGTGCTTTGGGTCGCGCCTCTTAGTTCTCTCCTTGACACAAACAAAAACTAATACTTTCTTTATTTTTCTATCTCTTGCCAATTGTATTTTTTGGATAATTTTTGGCCTTTTTTTCTTTTATACACTCTCTTACAATTTTTCTATACATCTAAAATTTATTTAACATAATACTAATTTTTAATACAATATAAAATTTTATTATGTATTTCTCTTTTTTACTTTTAATGTATTTCTATTATTTTGGTAATTTTTCACTCGATTTCAAATAAAATGGCTTTGATTTTTCGCTAAAAGCCGTTAACTGTTTTTTTTACTTTACACAGTATATAAAAAAAATGTACCATTTGCGGTGAATGGAGAGAGCACAGAGTTGCTTTCAATAAATTCCATTGCTTCGATTCTGTTAAAGTAAAAGACATTTGCACCGCATTTCTGTTAAATGAGAAATTGAGGGCGCATTTTGATTAAATGAGAAATTCAGGCCGATTCAGTTAGTGTGAACATTGGACATTAAATGGGATTGCTTTAAATCGAGCCTCACCAAATCCAAGTACACAAAATTAACTAAGTATTCCAAAACGCAATTAAACACTTCAAAAACTTTATTTTCTTATAAAAAAATTTGGTTTAGTAGGGTTAGTCATAGAGCAAGGCGCTTTCCGGTATAATCTTTCAGTTCTTTCTCCACATCCGTTACTATGGCTTTACGAGCAGAACACGTTGCATTTACTTGAGGTAATAAGCATTTAAGAATAGTTCTAAAGGCGAACTTGTTGAAAAGCATCCCTTTGCTGGCAAATAATGTACAATTTTTGACGTATTATTACCAAAACGAGTGAATAACTGCATTAGGCGGAGATATGTAGGGTATGTAACTACGATGTTCTTATTTGTTTTTATTTTTTTCTTCTTTGCCAGAAAAAAACAGCAACAATATAGTTTAAAAAATCTCGGTAACTATTACTTATTTCATTCGTTAAGGCAAATTGTTTTTCTTATTTTCCAAAAGAACAGGACGGTAGCGGCACGTGTTTATTGTATGATACTAATTTAAACATTTTTATGTCGATCGTTATTGCAAACCAGAATCTGTCAGATCAAAAACAATTATATTTTAGATATTCCTTGCTTTTAGTTTCTAGATACTGCGTGCATTTCGAGGAAGCTTCGTCTTTTTTTAGGTCAATTTCACTTAATTTCACCTAAGCCTATAAAGAATTACTTCCCTGTCCTTCTCAACGATGTACAGTGATAAAGATGGCCTCCTACAACGAATAAATAGTCCTTGGGAAACACGAAAACAGAACTACAAATTAAAATAAAGTCCAAAATGTATTATACAATAAAATTTGTTCGAAAATAATTTCAAAATCCAAACAATTCTTGCTAAAAAATTAGAAATGTAAAATAAATTTTCAAATATTTTACAAAACTTTATTTTGCAACACATTTTCCATAAGCATGTAGAGAAGACTTCCTCTTTTCCATTGCATAAAAAATCTTTATACTTAATTCTTACTTCTTAATCGTAGCAGCAGACGCGTTTGTTACATTGCTTGGCGCTGCCGGTGACATACAATTACCATCGGGATAACGCTTTTGAAATTGTGTTATTAATTCAGGATCCACTAAACGAATGCCATCCAATTGGTTGCCCAATGTAATCCAGTTTGGTTGAACATTATGCGGTCTTCCAAATAACTCAATTTTACGTGAGCCCGGACTTAAACGTTCTATTATTCCATAAATCTCGTCCGGTTTGTGAGAAGTAGCTCGTACTTCGGCGACGATAACATCACAATCCAAACCTCGGTTTAGATTTTTCGGATTGCCCTTCATGCCAACTAAGCAATGTTCCTTGCCATGATTTAACCAGTGGCCGGTACGACCGGTGCGAATAATGCGTTGTAGCTGGTTAGTTTTCACCCAAATTAACTCATCGACACGTTCATAACTAAATAAATAATACCAGAAATAACAAAGCAAGTACAGCAAAGAAACTCATTACCCCCATAGCATTAAACACTCTCTACCCAATTCCATAGCTCGGCCAGTTACCCATAAAAATATAAGACCATCATCTTGTAACGCTGGAACACCTAATTGACGCATTTCATCGTCAGACATTGTACCTAGAAAAGAAATTGTGAAATAAAAATACTCAGCACGTAGGCTTTTTTTTTTTACCATACGGTAATTCCATATGTATATCCCACGGAGGATCAGCCATGACGACAGCAAATTTACCCAATACTGTCATGTCTAAATACCTTAAAAGATAATTTTTTTACTTCGCTACCGTTTGAGATATTTTCATTTTTGTCATTTCAAACCTTAAATCACATTGAATCCACTGTGGCGGGTATAAGGTCACACTTGGGTCTACGCTACGTTTTAAGCATAAATTAGTTTTAACATCGGCCGGCTTATTTGTATTAATGTTAGGTAGGGTATCTACTTCATAGTGAACATATCTTTAAATTTTTGAAAACAAAGTTCATAACACTTTTTATAATTGAAAGAAAATAATATACTTGCAGGTGGCCATGTGAAAGCAAGTGTTTAGAAAGCTGCAGTCACCTAACGATTCGTCGGTGTGAGATTGTATGATTTTTTTAAAATGCAATTTTGTACACTTATTGACTTCATGGTTGGAATCTTCCGCAGACTGTTGGGTTTCGTTTTCACTTTCTTTGTAGGTATCAGCTACAATTTCACCATCTTCAGTGCCGGAATCAGTGGCTTTGGTGTCGGTTTCATCAACAGTCTCCAAATTCTCTGAATCATTTGATTTTAGACGCTTTATAGGGGGCTCTTGTGAATCTGTTTTATTGTCTATGGTATCTTCATCAACGACAGACGGGCGTTTTGGTAGTTTGGTATTATTAAGTTTCTTAGCTTTTTTCGCTTGTTGTTGTTGATCTTTCTTTTTTTTAGCTTCCATTTCAGCGGTAGCCTGTTGAGCTTTTAAACATTCCAGTTTAGTCCCGTGAGGGCAAAATTCCATTACTTGTGCTCCGCCGTGAGATTTAAATTTTTCAGCCACAGATTTTTCCTTCGCAGTTGGTTTGGTTAAAAGTTCCAGGATTTCCTCTCCGACTTGCTTGCTTTGTTTTTCACGAGTCGATGGCATAGAAAGTAAGGACTAAAACATTATTTTAACAGAATTCTTCAATAATTATAAATTTTGTAATAAATTCTTTACGTACCATAAGATCATCTGAATCATTATTGGCATTCGTATCCTTTTGTTCGTCATTGTCATCATTATCAATGGATTTGTCGTTGCTTACACTATCTTCGAGCAAATCGTCTTCAACTTCAACTTTTCACATAAATACGTTTTTATACAATTTTCTTTTTATTTTTACTTCATACATTAGTAGAACTTACATAGTTTTTTATATTTCCTTTTGATCTCCTCGTTGAGATCGAAATTGTCATTAATGAAATTCTTGTAGAGATCCAGCAGTATTTTAGATTCCAATGATATAACTTCGCAACCCATTTCACCGCCTATATTAACACGTTTAATGAATATTGCTCCTTGCTTGGCTAATTTATTCAAAACATAGCTCACATTCTCTTTAGAAACCGAACACTTTATAATATTGGTAATTTTATCAACCAATTGCGTGGATATAATCGGTAACACTAGTGCCGGCGAGCAGAGTATTTCCATCAAAGCTTGTTCGACAGCTGGATCTTTGTCTTTGCAAATTTATATATTCAATATAGGACACTGATAACTTCATTAAAATTCAAATTATGATATCAACCCACCATTTTCCGTTTTTATTGCCAATTCGACATTTTCATTCATTCCACTGTTTTCATCACTTTTAACGTTGGTGGCCATTAATATGCCATGCCGCTCTTTTTTACGTTTTTCAAGTTTTTCTCGCAATGTATTTCTTTTACTTTTTAGAGCTTTAATATCGTCCCAAGCATCTCCCATGATCTATAAGCAATTTTTATTAAATTATTTTTAATGAAAAATTTAAAAATATGCTTTATACTAACAACAACAGTACGTCTGTAAAAATATTCAAGTAATGTTACATGTATGTGAAAATAGCAAACCTGAACTCTAAGAGCGAGGAACGAAAAATCATGTGTGCGTAGTTTCCCTTTTTTCGAGCATTCACAACAATTTTTTTAAATATTATTTTTGATTCTATTATATAGTCTATTATATAGTTTTGATTCTATATATAGGAGTTGAGATAGGTCCAATTTTTATTACACAGGTCGAGTGAGAATCACTTTCTGAATTGACTTAAACTTGTCTCCTCGTCTGTTTCAACCTACATGCTTCAATTTTGAAGATATTTTGATGAAATTTGTTATACTGGCGCGTTTTGGTGCAAGCACGAACGCTGTTGAAAATGATTCAGATCAGACCACTTCTTCGAGCACTTCTCCAATAACGCTGGAAATTAAAAGTTGCATGTCTACAAGTTGTAAGAGACGTTGCCTCGTCTCATAACATACAAAACTTTTGAGATAAAATAAATAAAAGTAAAAATTGTATATTGATGAACTGATAACTCTATTTGGCTTTTTTCCACTTTCACCACCCACCTCATGACGCATTCTGTTCTGATTTGTTATTTTCACGCCGATATATACGCCGATATAACTATTTTTATACTAACGAGTTGTTAACTCTGTTCGATTTGTTTACATTTTTATTTGCGTTAAACTTTTGTGCAGCGAAAGTATCTATTGAGAATAATGAAAGTTTTATAAAAAGCAATATGGGAGATGATATTATTTTGTGTAAAATTGCCGAAGAACAATGTGTAAATATTGAAGAGAAAGATTTGGCGAAGTGTGTTAAGTATAAGGAGAGAATGTGGCGTTTAACTAATTCTTTGCAAACTCACGCCAATGAACTACAAGAAATTTTGAACCTTTGTAAGTGATGAAGGCTTTCACGTATATTCCAATTTTTCTTACACTTATCAAAAATACGGATCCATCAATTAAGTAATCTAGGTAAAATTCCGTTAAACTTACCACTTTCGCTTCACTATCAAAGGTAGACACAAGGTAGGCACAAAGGTTGGCATAGGAAATTCAAAAGAAAACTTATAGTTATGGAATCTAGACCTTTTTCTCAAAACGGGCAGTGCTGTAGGATAAGTATATTTAAGCATACGCCATAGTAGATATTAAGTCATTTTTAACTTGTGCAAAGCGAAATGGGATGATATTTAAAATTGAAAAAGTCTGATTTTTGAATGCGCTGATGTTTTCTGGTCTATTATTGAAGACCCCTAAAAGCAATCTCTTATAATCCCTTTGCTGATCTTAACTTATATTTTAATCCCGCCGAGCCTAGTGCTATCTATTTTGCTGAAACATCACAACAAAATTATAAACCGAGCTATAAATGCGATAGAGCTAAACGGAATATTTCTAATTCGTAGCGAAAGCATAGATGACAGTGAAATCTTGCAAGCATACTATCAAAAAGCATTTAAGGACGGTAAATCCAGCTTATGACAACCAATTAGGCGAGTGCAGTGAGCTCACATTCTCAAGGGCATTGTTAATTTGAGAATCATCTCTGCTGAATTGCTTGTCTCAGAAAAATCCCTCTTCTTCTGGCGGCTTAGGAGTTGATTAACGTTAAAATTACAAAACTTTTGATCTTCCAGAAATTTACCGCACTAAGTGGTCGTACCATAAAAAAAACTTTGCCTATTGCAGTCAAAAATTTTTGAGAAAATTAACGACATCTCAGTATAAAATCATCTTAAATATTCTGAAGAGAAAACTTCGTTTTTAATATAACATTATTTTGAATATGCAGCACAGTTCAGTTCGGTTGGTATGTTTCTAGTTTCTCGGTAGTTGAACATTGGTCAATTAGAATATATAGATTTGAAATCACCTAATTACTTAAAATCCAACATTTCTGTTACTGGATTATTTGCTAACTATGAATTTTCTGCAATATTGTTACATCGTATACTTATTTTCATTTCTTTTGTTAGACTACTTTTTAATTAGCCTAAGCTTACAGCAGCTTACAGCATTGTGTGGTTACTACTTAAAACTCAAAAACCATGTATTTAAATTTCATTGCATGTTATATAAATTAACATTTATTTGGACATAAAGGCCGTATATCTCATTGGTCTATTCCATGCTTACTCTATAGCTGAAAAAAAAAACATCCCAATATCTAACGAATTCCTTATAATTTAATATTTCAGCTTCGACCGTTTCTTTTAAAAATATTGACTTTGGCTTCGTTGAATCCTGGTTAGTGGTAATTTATCGTGAAGGCTATCAACGTAATAAGGCTATACATGAAATTATAGAAAAGTTATTTTCTATCATTTTTGTTAACTATTCAAGTCTAGCACGAGGTATCAATGGCCGTCTAAATGACAATCCGGGTGGTAGTGAAAAGGTCTTAAAAACCTATGTAACAACTCAGCTCTTTGAAGCTCTAAAGAAAGCTCATCTTATTTTTGAGACTAATAATCAAAAAACATTAAAATTACCTGCCAAATTTTTACCTACACTATGCAAATACCAAGAACGCACCATTCATTGGCTTCTGCAAAGAGAACAACATGTGCATCGTTTCCCCGCCTATTTCATTGAACTCCAAGCTAGAGACGCACAAAGTACGGTTTATAAATATTTTTGTGGGCAATTTTTTCAACGAGAGAGACCGGACGATATCGTATTGCCTCCCGGTGGAATTTTAGCCGAAGAAATGGGTTTGGGTAAGACCGTGGAAATTCTAGCATTAATATTACTCCATCCGCGCTTAAATGTACAGGTACCCAGTTTCATAGAACCACTCTTACAAAACTCATTAGCAAAACGTAAAAGAATGGCAAAAGAAGTATTTTGCATATGTAATTCGGATTCGAAACGAAATTTGATTTCGTGTACCAAATGCTGCCTATGGCAGCACAAGAACTGTGTTGATAAATATGAAAAAGATATTGATGGTGTAGAACGCGTTTACTTCTGTCCAGCCTGCTGGCAAGAGGTAATACAAGATAACGGGAAAATACCTAGCAAAGCAACATTTATTGTCTCACCTAACATGATTAATTTCCAATGGATGGAGGAAATTAAATGCCACGTACAACCTACGTTAAAGGTATTTCTCTATGAAGGTGTTTCTGCAGGCAAATGGATATGTCCATTGCAATTGGCCAATTATGATATTGTGTTAACACATTACAATGCCTTACGCAGTGATATCTATTTTACTCAAGATAACGTCAGCGGACGTGTTATGCGCAATAAACCCCGTTCGATGAGAATGCATACACCATTGTTAATGCTTGAGTGGTGGCGAGTTTGCTTAGATGAGGCACAAATGGTGGAATCAAATATTTCAAAAGCGGCAACTTTAGCGAAAATGTTACCTGGTAATCGAATGAATACAGCAGTGATATGATAAAATTCTTATAAATTTGTTTTATTTATCTCATTTAGCGATTAATCGTTGGGCTGTTACTGGCACACCGATACAACGTTCTTTAAATGACTTACAGAATCTTTTGCAATTCATTGGTTTTGAGGAGGCAGCTGAGCCGCAATTTTGGGACTATATTGTCAACGATTTTGTAGTTCACTATGATGCGGGAAGTTGTAGTGAAGGGTCTTTTCAGCTCGTAAACGTTTTGCAGAAGTGCATGTGGCGTACCAGTAAGGTTGATATTATGGAAGAATTGAAGATACCTCCACAACAAGAGGTCACACACCGCATTGAGTTTGATAACTTGGAAAAACTTTTCTACCGCGAGCAACATCAAGAATGTCGTGAAAAATTTATGGAAAACGTTCACAAGTATAAAAAACGTATGATCACCATATCACCGCAAATAATGAAAATTGTAAGTCGTAGCAAATTTCGAATACAGAATGATACTACTTCTAAAGATTTTCATTTCACATTTTTAAAGATTTTACAACCTTTTTTGAAAATACGTCAATCTTGTATTATGCCCGTGGTGACCTCTAATAATATAGCTCAGCAAAAGCAGTTTCTTCAACCGCAGGAATTGCATAACTATTTGAAATCCAATAATGAGCTCAGCTGTAAATCCGAGTTAAGATCGATGGCCTCGTCGCATAATGGTTAGTAACCCATTATGTACATGAATGTGCAGTTACGTATGTATAAAAAACTCAACTCTTTTTTTTTTTGCTTTCGCACAGCAGTCTTCTTTTGGAAAAATTTTTTTTTGATTTAAGGCGATTTCAATTGCAATTGTTTTACAGATAACTTTCAGCACTACCTTTAACATTTTTACTAAATTTTCAAAATCGAACAGCGCTACGCAATTATTTGAAATTAAAGATATGATGTATATATATGTATATATGTATATATATTGAAGCTTTCAGCTTACCAGCCGTAATACCCACTTCAAGCGTTCAGGACACATTTCGTTAAGGCATTTTTCTCGAGCCACATCTTCGGCACGATACATTAGTGGTGATATCACCAAGTGGGTCGCACTGCTGTTCATAATCTCTTCGATTAATCATATAACGAAGAATTACCAAAGAAGATGTATGCAGCTCTACAAAATGTTGGAATATGTATACTGATTACCAGGGAAGCTGCCTATTTGATAACGTCTGCTAGTATGCCTTTTATGCAAGAAAATGAAAAGCTTAGACTTAGGCTCTAAATAACGTTTAATAGTGTGTCAAATGCGTCAAAAGATTTCTAAGAAGTAAACCGTTTTTACACTCTTAGGGACTTGAGCCAGATTGATTTAGAAAGCTGGTTGAAGCTGCTCTATCCATCTTATTTCTTTAAATCAACTCACAGGTCACACTTTTTGCGATGTTTTATTGAAATTTGGTACATTAACCGATTTTAGCCCGGTATTGAAAATGGTTCGAACCACTTTTTCGACCATTTCCCATATAACGCCTTATGTTGACAAGTCGTAGCTACAGGATCGTGTAAAGTATTTAATCATGGGTCGTGATCCACTAGCTATCTTAAAGAGTCTTCAGGCGTTATATTGAACGCCTTCCCGACAGACATTCCTGGGAGAAACAAAAACGTATTTGGATGGGCACTTGTTTTACGCAAAAGATGTTAAGGAAAAGAAATAAAAAACTCTGCTGGGAAATATTTGGTGAACACTGAAAAGTGAAGGCTGAAAACTAATTAAAATTTTCCAAGATTATTTCATTTCTAAGCTCGAGCAAGTGGCAATTTGGAGCGTTACACTTTGTTTGTGCCGACTTTGAAAAATTCCGAAAATCGATTAAAGATTTCTCTTTTATAGACATCACAAAAGAAAGTAAAACACTTAATATATTCCCATCTTTTAAGTGGGGAGCTGTACCATTGTCGCATTCTAATTAAAAAATGCAGGCATTGCTTAAATTTTTAGGAACTCAATGAATAAATCCATAAGCTCGCAAAATAGTCGGGGGACGTGTGATAAAGTTTCGATAAATTTAATGACATATCCAAGTTGTTAATTATCTCTCTTTATGTATTTTATGCTGCAAATAAAAAAGCAGCTCTCGGCGACCTAATTGACGTATAATATAATTTCTTTAAAATTGTACTAGGATTAGCAGCATTGCATTTTTTAGAGAAACGGTACGACGAGGCATTAATACATTATAAAGAAGTTCTCAAATTGGCTAAGAATTATGTTGAATTGAATATTACGTAAGTTTTTTACCGTTTACTGTCAACATTTATTTTATTTGTAACATTTTTTTTTCAAATTTATATGTGTTCAACTTTAGAGTCGATAAACTTTTGCAAATCCACGCTCTTCACAATATAATGCAAATTTTGATAATATTACAACCATTGGAGAATGATTTACCTGAAGAAACATTGATTGAATATGAACAACAGTACAATGCTTTAGAATGGAAATATTTGGAAACATATTCGAACACATTATCGCAAGTTAATAATGCTTATTGTAGTATTTTGGAACAAATTAATGATGACATAACAAAAGAATATCTGCCATTTTTGGGAGATCAATTGCTTATTCTAAGCGTGGTTGAGCTGTCGTCCTTTTTGCAGAAGATTTTTGAAGAGTGCTCTCAACGCTTTATAGAAACACATGCCGAATATAAATTAGGGGAAATAACATCGGTCAGAACAATACTGTACCTCATGAATGTATGGTTCACTAAAGTGTCAACGTCATGGAAAAATTTAGTTAAAGATTTCGACTCGTTGCAATACTTTCGTGATAATGTAAAATCTCGTAATCAAGTCAGTTCGGCTACATGGCGAGATATCACACAATTAATAAACGATGTGTACGATTGTCATCTGAGTGATATAAGAGTAAGTGATTGATAGCAGAAAGTTTCATACGAACGATTTCTAAGTAATACGCTTTCCATCTCTCTTTTAGGAAAATGAAAAACAAAAAAAATCGCGAAAGTCTTCAGTTAAAAAGTCAAAATGTAAACTTTGTAAAATACGTGACGCTATAAACATCTTCGAGTGCTTGTTATTTTTGAAGGTGATAGATGAACAAAACCAACTAACTGATGGAGTCGATAATCCTTCATTTGAGTTTTTTCTTAATAAAGGTAAGCGAACGACTCACTAAAATGTATTAAAAATGTTGCACATTGTGTGACATTTCTTTGCAAAATATTTTTTATATAATTTTTTAAATATTATTGATTGAGTGATATTTCGTTAGTCGTACCACTATTAGCGAAAATACGTATACGGCGTTCTTTGAGCCCGCATACTGCTAGACAATCCTCATTGGAGGGATTAGTGGTCAGAGATAATACAGTGCAAGGAAACCAACTAATAAGAAGCTTTTGCGAAATTGATCCTGTAAACTCGGATATTTTCTTCGGTTAGGCAGATACTTTCTAAACCACATTTTTAAATATCCTACGCATAGGAGTACCGCTTACTCCGGATATAAATTTAAAATCCTACTCATTATTATTGCAATCAATTTAACCGGAGAAATAAATTCCAAACGTTAAGTCTTGAAGCACTAGATTTTAAGGCTATCGGCTTTTTTAAAATTTGAAAGCGCCATCATTGAGTCCTACTTGAGAAATTCCCTTTGTCAACAAAAAAAAAGCCGACTGCCTTTGCTATAAGATAGAATGATACAAATTTCCATATTTGCTACATAAAAACATCAAAACTTCAGCGGAAATTTTGGAGACTGTCAAGGGAAACCAGCGTATTACTTAAGAGTAACTCGGCTTTAGTCTCATGACAGGTTGATGCACATCAAACAGGATAGTGACAAGCCAAAAGTAGCAGAGCAGACGGATATGACGCTCTTAATCGAGACACTAGCAAGACGAAGGCTATAGAATATTTACCCGACGTTAACCTATGCATTTTTTTGCAAATATATTTTTTTACCATGCCATGATCGCTTATCTAATTCTTCTGGTGCCTTATCGCGCCTTGCGCTAGATCTTATACGTAGATGGCACTGGAGAAAGATGATCCGCTTGGCTGGTTGATGCACGTGTTTGTTTACTTACAAACGAAAAGTCAATCAATAAAATTCAAGCAAACATTAAATACGCGGAAAGTGCGCAAGGTATCATTACATTTTTGAAAAAAGACAATCGAGATTCGTTCTTCTCAAAAACTTTGTCTACACATCATATTGAAATTGAGTTGAGTTGGAATTGAGTCTTCCTATTAAAGCGACAATAACGAACAAAATGATGAGATTTATGTTAAGTAAGTGTTCAAGCCCACCTCTAATCTCTGGAAACCTCTGGCTATATATGGCTTATGACAAGTTTTTAAAGTCCAGTTTCAACGAAAGTCCGAAAATGTTCCTTTCAGATTAACTTTTTATCTTAAAGAAAATAATTTCTTGTTTTAGTTTTTAATCGAAATTTGCAATAACTAATGTGTCTTTTTAATATTTTCTCATACTTTTAGTCATTTTTAGTTACTTAAAATCTAAACTCAGACAACCGGAAGTACAAGCGAGTGTTGAAAAATTAACACAATATTTTGATAATTTACAAATGTTGTGTAAGAGTTTTATAAAATTATGGATAGAAATGGAATACACTATTAAGGCGTACGATGAGTTGAATATGTGTAAAATGCGCATATCTTTGGCTGAAAATGCTGAAGAGAAATCAAATTTTAAAGTTTTTAAACATGAGATCAGTCAACGCGTTATGGAGCAGAAAGAGCAGCTTTACGAGGCGCAAAGAATGTTTGTCACGCAATTAGCCCGCTTGAAATATATCAAACATTTGGAGAATAAAAAAGATCCTGGACCCTGCCCGATATGCCGTTTCGAGGAAGATGATAGAGTAAGTCAAAAAGAGAGAAAAAGATTGATCGATTTTATTGCGTTTGTTATTTTTCTAGTACGCTGTTTTAGAATGCGGCCATCATCTTTGTTACACTTGCTTAAAACATTTGAAACAAGTATCAAATCTTCGATCGCATTTCAAATGTTCCATTTGCCGTCATACTCAACGTTTCCAAAAGTACGTGCACGAAACAAAAATTTAGAAAATATTTTTATTGTTTACAATAAATTTTATTTTACGCATCACCGTAGAATGCAATAATTGAATTTTTAGAATACCTGAGCTATTAAATTAACGAAATTCCAGTAAATAATCTGTATCCTATTATGATCCTTTGGCCCTTGATCCCTTATCTAAGTTTTCCACAACTTGTGGAATCTGCCTAAAGAAATTATCAATGCAGTAGTGTTACCAGACAGCTCAGTTGATTGGTTGTCGAAGACTCTGCTTTGTGCCGTTTTTCCCAAGCAGTAAGCACAATTTAATTTTTTTTTTTTTTTTTTTAAATCTATTCATTATATTCAAGTAATCTTCAAATCAAATCCTCAATTAAGCGAATTCCTAGGGCACAACACCGCCATAGCCGAAGAAAACTTGACTCAGATCCAACTTGATTTTTGAGCGACTTTGGCGAAGTCTGGACTCGCCTTTCCATTGATCTTTCATCTTGCGTAATGGTGCCTTTCATGACTTCTGGTAGGTAGAAATCGTTGTTGCATTGTCTGAAGTGGGAAAAACATTTCTTGTGTCGTACAAAACCAAGCTCAACTGAAGCGCTAACAACAACGCTTGCACGATTTGAAATTTGAATGTAAATATTTCTCATAATCGGTATACCCGTACAATTTAATTTGAATATTTTACTTACTTACTTTTTGATCACAGTATTAGGTAATATTTCTGTACATTTCAATTTTCTCTCTTACACCTTGATCTTGATCGATCATTCAAATTACTTTCAGAATTTTTAATTATCTTCCTTGAAATTTTCCAAGAATTTCCATACCGATGACGAATAGCTAAAGTTCACGGTGATTTGAATACAATCATCCTATTATATATACATTTCCTTTGTCTCTTGCGCAGTTTATATTATGCTACTCGCATCTCGAAGAAAGTACCAGAAAATGATCTTAAAATCAACGGTAGTTATACATCGAAGATCACTTATATTGTGTGTTTGGTTTTGAAATTAAAAAAGCAATACGAAGAAGCATCCAAGCAAGCAAAAGAGAGTTTAAAAATTTTAATATTTTCCCAATGGGAGCCAATACTAGCGGCCTTAGCCGGAGCGTTGGCTAACAACGATATAAAACTGAGAGCGCAGTGCACAACAAAAACTATCAAGGAATTTAAGGTAATTTTTTACAACATATTTTTATTATATATTATAAAAGAATAAAAAATATTCTTGCCATTTTTTTTATTAGGATCCGAGTTTAGGTATTACCTGCTTATTAATGCCGCTATTGCGCGGCTCGAAAGGCTTAAATTTAATTGAAGCTACTCATGTGTTCCTGATCGAACCAATACTGAATCCAGGCGAAGAATTACAAGCTATCGGTAGAATTCATCGTTTTGGACAAACCAGGTATTTTAAGAGTCACGTCTCCTATTATTATTATTATTATTATCAAAATTGTATTTACTCGACAGGTCAACAACCGTTCATCGTTTTATTGTTATTGGCACAATCGAGGAAAATATTTATAATTTTATAGCTTCTAAACAAGGCAGTGATACAAACACCACCGCTGCACATAAAAATTGGGAGTTTAATAATATATCATTGCAAGCCTTTGAGAGTTTATTTGCTTTAGAGCAGAAAAATGAATGTGATTAGGTATTTATTTATAAATCTCTCATTTATTCATATTAATGCCAGTTTACGTATTAAGTCCTGAATTTTATTTATGATCATGTCCAAATATAGTAAGTTGTAGATACTAAGTTGTAGGAGTTATTAGCCGATGCGCTCTTGTGCCGAAGTAGTTATGCAATAAATTGTATACTTAAATACTAATATTAGGTACAAACAAGTTAGACGTACTATTTTCTTAATTTCTGAAAAATACACGAAAGCTGCCTGGTAATTATCTTTCCAACCTTCATCAGTTTTGCCAGAACGTGTTGGAAATTTTACCCGTTGTATACATACAACCAAATCTCAGAGATCTAAGCTAATATAAGTCTATACACTAATATATAATAATTTAGTCTAGTATACAGCTTGTAATAAGCAAGTGATAGTGTATATGTAGATTATAATAGATTAGTGTAAGCAACCATTTCTTTCAATTTTAAATGTGTAAAATTTACAGTGCATTCCTTACTTGCGTGAAAATTCTATTAAAGACTGCGGACAGTTTACAAAAAAATAATTTTTTATATGATATTTCCTTTTCAATTCTTGCTTGAAAAGACCAACGTCGAGCGGCACTCTTTAATGTAATCGCCTGATGTCTGCAAAAATTCTCTCTGTCTGTCGGAATATAGAACTATTTAAGTGTCACTTGAAGAGGATCGCAGGTTGTAGAGACGGACGCACGTGTCATTGCTGAGCCAGCAAGTTCATCTAAAAGAAATACACATGTTTTACCCTTAAAGGAATAAACGAATGGAGGAAACCTACTTACCGAATGGTCATATCATAAGTCCTAGGCTTCTGAAAGTGACGACAGAATCAGAAGCATCCGAAACTACCCCCGAAGTAACCGACGAGCACGGCCTGCCGTGCTGACACGTCTGCTGTCAATATGTTAACGTTGAAATGAGCACGCCAAACAGAGATTTCATATATCCCCTATGGACTAGATGTTTTCTTGAAGAATTGCCGCGTCCCGTGGAAATGATGAGCAACGATTATCAAACTATACGCAAAAGGCGTATACATTGTGTATAAAAATTAGTTCTGTCCGATTTGGTAAAAGAGATTGTGAGTGTATAGACTGGCGTTTTATAAAACGTTTTATTAGAGCCCTCCTTGGGCATACCATCCCTCTGCCCATGTCAACAAATTCTATCATATTTCGTTCGGCTTGATCTTGGAGCATAACAATTGATCATGGAAACGTCACTCAAACTATTGTCAGTAGCTTCAGCAAATGAACAGGAATTTGGCGAGGAAGGAGGTGGCTGAGGCGGATTTTGGCTTCTGCTGCTATCGAAGTTTTGTTCTCCTTTGCAAGCATCCAAGTCTAAATATTTACTCGCATTGCCGCCATCCAGGGATGCATTGCAATCAACCGACAAAGATGAATTAAAGCTAACTTCAATGTTGCTGTTCACTGCTGTCTGTAGAAAGTGAAAAAGTCGCCTAATGGTTCCCCCTTTTCAATTTTTACTAAAGGTACTGCCTACTTGCCTACTAAATCCAAGTATTCGTTAAAATTTAGCTGAACATCACTTAACATTGTGACAGTATTTTTGGATGATTTTTTACGTATTGAATCCTGACCGAGAGTACTACTTGTATTCGTCGATGGAGTTATTTTTAAATGTAGTCCATCTATAAACAGTCTGCGTTTATCCAATAAACTTATTCCTTCATCATTTTTATTATCTGTTATCGTTATTTGTGTGTTAAACTTATTAACAATTTTATCTAAATAGAGAAGTTGTCATTTGATTACTCCTCCCGAGAGCGACTTTTGTCCGCCACTAAGAAAGAAAAGCCGCCTTCACTCCACGTATTTTCACTTGTATTAATATTTTCAACGTTCACTAAATTGCTCTCATTTTTATCAACATCTATGCAACTCAAGCAGTCAGCAATATGATTTTCCTTAATGTATGAAATTTTCGCATTGTAGTCCATTGAATCGGCCAATCGACATTGCAGTCGCTGATGTACTTTCCATTATATTTAGCTTGTAACCACTTAGGTGGTTGGTGAGCAGCGTTCATATCAAATTCAATACCATAAAGTAGGATCCAAAGTATTTGACTGACAAACTGTAGATAATGATTGGTGCCAAATCCAGAAAATATTTCCCGTACATTGGTCGCACGAGTTTGGGGGCATCAAGCGTGACATGCTGAAGGAAATGATGAAAACGGGCCTTATACAGGAAATGGTGGAGGAGCCTATGCATTTTTTAACAAAGATTCTCTTATGTGGACATTATAGACATTATTGATGAGTCGAATGTTGGCAGTTGGCGGTTATTCCCATTTTAGTTTAAGTGCGCGCAATTTCGGCACCTTCGGTCTTATTACGCTTTAAAGAACTTCGTTCTTCTTAAGCCACTTTTTCCTTTATTCTCGTTTTCTGTAAATTAAACCAGTTACGAGTGCCGGAAGTAAGATTTTAAATATTTTATATTCTTGTATTTTACCAATACAGGTATTTAAGAAAGAAGATGCGAAGCGCTTGACATTAAAGTTGAATGAATTGTGCCACTTATGCAGACTGCGCGAGGAAATATTTCGTTCATCTAACGGGGATTTGTACTACTTTAACAGATTCCTTGAGGAGTTGACTTCCTTAACTTTTCACTTCTGATTAAAGGTTATATGGGACGGAGTTGAAAAAATGGCAGTTCGATTCAAATTTTTCGCGTATTACCGAAGGGTATGATTCAGTTCAGATCGTTGACGAAAAATTTTGAAAATTCTTATGCTTTCTCATATAAGGACTGTTTCAACACAGGTCGCTACATGGGTACTGATCGCAAAGGTGATCCGATCGATTGTTAAGCATCTCAAAATTTGCAATTCACATTTTTATGTTATGTTACAATTTAGTGTACATTTCAAAATTTCCGCGTATGGCAATACCGCTTTGAAGTAGCAAACAAAAAAATCCCTTCAGTATATTTATTTTTGTTTCTCTTATTTTATTAGCTAGGAGTTTTTTAATTTTCCTTTTGTGAAAAATGTTTGGTTGGAAGATTAATGATTATGATATTAAATTAGAATTAGCCAAATGTTCCAATGGCACGGTTTACATGGCTCGCAATGCGAGCAATCAATACGTTGCGTTGAAGAAATATCATTTAGAGAAGGCATCAAAAGAAGATGCGGAACAAATACGCGACGATGTTTTGGCTATGCGTCAATTTAGTCATCCGAACTTGCATACATTTTTTACGGCATTTGTAAATGAAAGTGATTTATGGGTTACAACCCCTCTAATGTGTTTTGGCAGCTGCCGCGATACAATAAAAAATTGTTTCAATACAGGTGCGATGTGGTGTGGTCTCCTTGAATGCAAGCCAAGATGTGACATGTTTTAATGGAATTTTTATTCGCAAGTTTAGGTTTCCCTGAAATTCTTATTGCGCTAATAATGAGGGATGTTTTGGCCGGCATTGAATATTTACATCGTCGTGGTTATATACATCGTTCGATCAGAGGGAGTCATATCTTACTAAATCAAACTAAAGCTGTGCTGACAGGTTTTCGCGATTGTACAAGTTTCTTATCACATGGCGGTCGTGTTACAGCGTTGCACCAGCTTCCGCCACATAGTGCGCGCAGTTTAAATTGGTTAGCTCCCGAAGTTTTAGAACAAAATTTGATTGGTTACACTGAGAAATCAGATATATACTCTCTTGGCATAACTTGTTGTGAACTTGCTAACGGTATAGAACCTTTTGCTGATTCGCAACCTACATTTATGTTTACGGAAAAGATACGCGGCAATGTTCCAACTCTCCTAGACCGTACTACTTGCCCAGCCGTAGATGAAATAATAGGTAAAAAAAAAAGAAAAAGTCACTGAAAATTATCAACAGCCTTCAACATTATTATTTCTGTGTATAGATATTCTAGCCACTACAAATAAAACCAATTCCAGCCTAGCTGCCGCAACGCAACAAATTTACTTGCAACGTTTGTTTACAGATGAATTTCATCAATTCACGGAGATATGTATGGAAAAGAAACCCACTAATCGTTGGGCAGCCTTTAAATTACTTAGCCATACATTTTTCAAACAATGTCGTCATGCAAGTATCTTGGACGTAACGCAACGCTACGGAATGCAAATAACTGATTACGAACAGTTAAGAGGTAGGCTACGGAAATCCTTAGACAATATAAAATAATAAAATTCTTATACGCTTTCGTCATCTTTCAGACAACAGTTTGCATATAAATACAAAATTAAACGATATCAAGATTACGGATAATGCTGATCGGGCATGTGATACATGGTCTTGGGAATTTTGAAACGAACAATAGGAAGACACTTAATAACATTTTATATATTCCCAAAACACGAGTCTAACATCCACATCGTGGTATGATTCGCTTTATGAATACGCTCAAGCTTAAGTAAGGCTTTTTACTTTTAAGACGATGTTCAAAAAACGGGTGCTTACATACATTCATTGAACGAACAAGTCCTCCTTTCTACATGAAATTCAAGTTCTTTTTCGAAGATTAAAAAAACGTTTAACTATTTCACTTTCAATAAAGTGTTTTTTCCACTTTTTTGTTTTTTTTTTGTTTTTTGTAAAAACAAAGTCCTTCAGAGTTAATTTCTACTATTTTCTGATGTTTTCTGATCTAGCTATGTAATGAGGGAGTAGTATTTGCTTACGTTTGACTGAGAAGGGGAGAGATCAGGCACAGCGCGAAAGACAACAACTGCTGGTAGATTGTTCCAAAGCCACGAAATGTGATTAAAGAGTAACGAGTCGCGGTAGCTTGCCGTACAATGAGCAGGCAATTTCAGGACGAGTGGGTGGGAATGCTGGAAAAGCCTTGTAATTCTAACAAATTAATTGATGGAAAAATCTTATTTATTTCTGTAGTGCACTTGTGTGTGTAAATCATTATCTGCAATAAATGTTTTCATCCAAATATCGCACACTTTTCCTTAAGCGCTCCCGAATACTACTTGGGTCGAAAGAACATCTGGCAAGGAAGTTGCAGCCGCACTTCTTATTTGTTGATTTCTGACTCCTATAACACACTAACAGACGTCTTGAGAAAATATTTATGTTCATTTAATCCTAATCTTACCAGAGTGAGCCTTTGAGTCACTTTTGAATTGTGAGCACAAATATTTAGCTCTCTATCGTATCTTCGATAGAAAGGACAAAATAGCGGGCAAAATCTCGGACAGACATGCGTGGGGAAAGTATAAATGAAGACACACTCATTTTATAGAATATAAAAATCTACATTTTTATTAATTTATTTTTATTATAGAACAAATTGTTTAGATGTAATATACTTTTCAAAGAAAAAAACAACAGAAGCAAAAATTAGTATGTAAACGTATAAAATGTGTTTTTTCTTTTTTTATAATTGTGGGCTCAAAAAATTATGTAAATATACAAATACTTTGTAAATGCAAACAAATCATTTTACCGGTAAAATACTTGTGTAACAGATTTCTCAATAAAAAAAAAAAAGATTAAAAAGGAAATGCTGCTTAAATATTCTAAGTAGGCATAAAAATTCTATATATATATATATGTATCGTAGTGGTAGTGTTTTTTTATTATTTGGTTAACTCTTCCCTTTCAGCCACTCATGACCATACGTACGAATTCTTCGTAATTGACATTACCTTGGGAATCTTCTTGATTAGCTAGTAATTGTTCAACTTCTTCATCAGTTAATTTCTCGCCCAGTGTAGTAAGCAAATGTCTTAGTTCGGCCGATGATATAAAACCACTTGCATCTTTGTCAAAATGACGTAAGCCCTCAATAAAATCGTCAGCTGTATCAGCCGAACGAGCCTTAGAAATTGCTTGATAAATAGGTAGGAATACTTCAAAGGATATGCGCTCATCCGACTTTAATTGATGTGTACACTTTTTCACATCCGATTCGGTGGGGTTTTGCCCCAAGGCTCGCAAGCATTCACCCACTTGGCTAAGTTGGATTTTCCCATCACCACGATTGTCAAACAAATTGAAGGCTTCTTGAAAATCTATAAGAAATACAAAAAGGGGGAAAAAGGAAATATTAAAAAATGCTCAAGCTTTTCGCACACATTTATATTAAAATGAATATCATACCCTCCAAGGTAGTAAATGTGTATTTAGTGGGCGGGTCGTATATATACATTTTAGCTTAAATGAGAATCGGAAAAATGTATAAATGCAATTTCACCCCGTGAAATGGAAACAACTACTAAAACTTCAACTTAATAAAATTTACGATAAATGCCTAAAATTTATTTGCCTGTCTAAAAATGTTGTATATATTTTTCATACCCAATTTGTACATAACCAGTATGTAGACATAATTCTTATACCCCTCTCTTCGTCTGTCTACTTGTATCCAACACTTTGCTGATATTTTAAGTCTGCTTAGGCTCTTGTTATACTCTTTCGTTAGAAATGCCTCTTCTCTTCAATTAATCGGTTTGTTTTTCGGAGCTCTCAAAAAACGTATTTAATCAATTTTTAAATGAATGTTATGAACCTCTCTGGAGGCAGTAGATATTTGAAATCGTTTTCCTTACAATTGTAGCATCAAATTAAGCCAGAACATGCCATTCCAGTCAGGCAATATGGACCACTAGATATCCTACACAACGTCATCTAATGCAACTGTTCACTAGTTTTGGTATTAATACATCAAAAATTACACATTATTTTCACACAAAAACATACTTCTCATGAAAGTCCACCTGAAGTATCACATGATGTGACCTAAACTTTGCCAGATTAATTTAGTTCGTACAAAATTTTATTATTTCGTCAGTTTCCTGCATAAGAAACAAGAAATTAGACTTTCTATCCATATAAGTGCGTGCTTTTCATGATAACCTCTATATATGTTAGGAGCTTAAAATGTAGACTTATCTGTTCCAAATTCTCTATCGTTACCTTTTTCGGTAAATTGCTACTGTGCACCAATTTCCATCGTAAAATATTAAATATTAAATATTATTCTTCTGAACGTCTTGCTCTTCGTGAGATATCTCATAGGGATTGGGGTCCCATACGGTTTTAATTTGCTTCATTTTATTTTTAAGTCAATTTGATTATCATGAAGAAGTTTTCATAATGAAACATTAACATTAAGAATTTATATTTCCTGAGACAGCTTATATGCGGTGGATTCCCAAAAATAGACCTACTAGGCCCAAATCCGGTAATGTTGATTTCTTTCTCATTTTATTATTATGAACCAATTTTCATCATGAAATATTGAAAACTGAACAATTTGCCAGTTTCTCTAAGAAAGCATTTATGAGGAGTTCAAAAATTGCCCAACCGAAGTAGAATTTTTATACCAATTATGAAAATCAAAATATTACTACTCAGGGACTTTCGTAGTGAAATTTTGAAAATTGCAATTTTCTTTCACAGAAAGGCTTTTCAAAATAGGGCGTTATATAGAAAGCTGTCGAAAAAGGGAACCGACACTTCAGAGCACTAGATTTCATCAAAATATGTCCAAAATTACGACCTGTAGGTTGAACGCTAAAATATTTGCATAGAGATCAGATGAACAGTCAAGCGTACATAAGTTCAGAAAGTGATTCAGAAAATGAATCTGAGTCGATCAGTATAATAAATGGTAGGTATGTCTTAAGCCCTACTGGGCGTTACATTCGGCCGCGAACTTAATACAGTCGGATAAACATTTGTAGATAGACATTAAGTGATAAAACGTAAAGACACACTAAGAAAGTAGTTTATACACTAATTCTATCGCAACCATCATGCAATCGATATGCCATAAGAAACACGTATTGTCTCAATTGGATCCCGTTTTGTTATAAAAATTTGAAGGTGAAAAAAAAGGAATTAGAAAACTAAACCTGGCTAGATACGTCCTTAAATCAAACTTCATGACGCGCATAATATTCATACAAAAAAGAAAAGAAGCGCTTAATATTAACTATGTTGATCTCAAAGTCGTGCTCTTGTCGTGGACACTGTATGTTTATTTCTTATGATGGGGATGATGTCATATTCATTTCGTCAAAACGCTTGCAACGCCCAGAAGGAGACTTCAGAGACCCCACAAAGTATATATATTCTTGATCCTGATCTTTTCGCAGCTTGGTATTGGAAATGGTTCAAATCAGTCGAAGGAGACGCCTACAGTACCACGTAAACTGACAACTCTCCATTTTTGAAAAGAAATAAAAATTGTTTTTTTTCTCATTACTCGTAAACAACAGCAGATAAAGCTACAAAAAGTGGACCGCCTATTGTATGGGCGACGCTGTAGTGCCCCTACAAAAATGGAGAAACCAGACGGGCCTAGTTAGGTTTTATAGTGTCACAATTTCTTTTCCTTTCCAAGATCGTTATCACGCGCAGAAGAGAGGTTCAAAAGCCCCACAAAGTGTATGAATCCTTGGCCAGTTTCAAGTTCAGAATGCATCTGCGAATGTTGGTCCATTCATCTGTTCGTCTATCCGTCTACGTAAATGTGTAGTATCTCTGGTAAACATTCTCTCGTTTGCAAAAATGACAATATCGGCTAGAAGTTTGCAAAAAAATTTGAAATTGACTTAAAGCGGTCAAACGAAACGACTATTATCCTCAAAGACCTATACAGAAAATATTGAAAACATCTTTGTTTTATGTGTTTTTGGCTTGTTACTTATAAACCACGACACGTACACTACATAAATTTCCAAAATCGGCCTCTTCCACATAATTTTATAACGCACAGAAGCAAGGCTCTTGGCCAGTTTCAAATTCGGAATGTACCAAACCTGTCCGTCTGTCCATCTGTTCGTCTGTGCAACTGCGTAGAATTTGAAAATGACCCAAACTTTTCAAGAAGTACGCTTACAACGCCCACTCGTCTATATAAGGAAAACTGCGAACACCTTTGCTTCCCGTGCAAGGTGCAAGACACACCTACACTTTTATTCTAAAAATGTAAAAAATCAAGCAATCAATGAAAATAGGGTATGAAAATGTAATTCTTTTCTTTTTTTCGGGATTACGATGTTGGGTATAAAAGATTAGGTCACGATCCGGTATAATTTTGTTATTTATAACGCGCCCCATCACAAATATTTTGTACGCAACCCTCAGAAATTCATTTAATAAACTCTTTAGGCGGTGTACATGTATGCTTTACAAAGATTTCCATTTAATTTATTCATGTCTGTCCGCTCGGGCTTATTTCGAGTTTGAAGATGACCATGATAACCAAAGTAGAGAAATGAAAAAAAGTATTTTTAAAAATAATAATAAAGTTGATATATTCATTATTTGCCTATGACGAAATAGTCTCCATCAAGCACTCGATGCATTAAACATTGTAGAAAGGGAATGCTGGCTGTGCAAGATTTTAAAATTATCAAAATTTTTGCCATAAATGTCAAAGCCCATTTAACATTTGTGGACTCGTTTTCGGAGCGTCTAAGCGCGGGCTCTGCTAATTTCTTGAAAGTATCTCGTGAACTCAATACTAGTAAAATATTTGGCTTTATTGCAACGACTGGACTAACCATTTAAACAAAGGAATAATTGATAGCCTTAGTTGTTAGTGATCATCCTTTTTTTTGTAGTCGCAAAATTTATTTCTTGGCTCTAAATAAATTGCACACAAACAACAATATTAAGAGACGAAATGTACACCAAATCTAACTATCTAACTAATTACGGCGCAAATACTTCATTGCTTTTGGCTATGTTGTGAATGTTGGCCATATAATAAAATTAAAAAAAAAATACTCACTTAATTGCACTTATAGAAGAAACAAGCAAGTAAAATGTATATTCGCCTTAGCGCGAATATTTGACACCCAACGTTCCTAAACAATGTATTGTAATTGCTAAATATTTTATTAAATCTCAGTTGGCGATTTGGAACGATTTTTACAGAACGAAGTTGTAATGTACCCCTAATTTAAGTCATAATAACTGCAGGGGTTTTAATATATTACAATGATATTTACTTTGCACGTTTACATTACTTTCCCAAATATTTTCAATCGGAACGATACTGCAGTATAATTGCTTTCTTTTTAATTACCAAATATCAAAGAGGAGTTAAAGATAAAGGAGCTCGTATTCGAACACAACATTTTGCAATGAAAGCTTTTTAGATCTCAAAACCTCACTGTCCATCCTGATGTTTAAAAAATGAAGCGTGGCAACAACCGACAGGCGAACGTTCTTTTAATGCTAGATCGATTAACATTGCGTATAGTTTTGGTTTAATTTGCTTTGTATTTCTAGGTGACAGTCGGAGGGGGGAAGGAACATAACGTATCGTTAAATCAAATAAATATCCAATAATTAACCGTCTTGGCTAGCAAAGCGAAGTTGTCAATAAATATAATTGCGTAATTTTCTACGAAATCCAATGGAAAATTTTGTTTTCTTTTTTTTTACAACGAGGAAAATAAATCGAGTTTCTCCTTTTAAGGATTTATCTTTAATAGAACGTGCTTCGCTACAACAACCATTTACGGTTGAAGGTGTTCTGTGCAAAGGTCACACAAATAATATATACGAAGAAAAAACTATATAAAATGGAAGCAGTTCGTAATAAATAAAACATTTGTTTTCTAGACAACACAATGGGAGGTAAGAAAACACGAAATGTATTCTGATGCGCTGCTGTAAACTTTCGATGAGTTACCAATAATGATTAAAGCAAAAGTTATTTGATCAAATAACTTCCACTGACAACGCAGTAGAAGATAAGAAGACACCAAATATACTCTGATGATCTTTTCTAAATTTTTTTTGGAAAATCATTTGATCTCGAATTGCCTAATTTATCCGTTTCTTTTCAAACATGCGTCATTTTCCACATCACTTTGAAAGCAACTCCCAAATAAGATAAAATCTCGAGTTCGTTTTCAGGTTTTGATAATTTTCTTTAACTTACCAGCAAGCTGGTCTTCCGTATAATTAGCCTAAAATGAACGAAGGATATTATTTTGGTAGTTTGCTTATTTTAGAGACGTTTCGATATTATTTAAGCTTAACTTACCATATTTTATTTAATTATATTAAAGTAGCAAAAGAAAATTTACAACTATTCTAAAGAAAATCGTTTTGGAATGTGTCACTAATTTATTTTCTTATTCTACCATTTCTTCTTTGTTCAGTTTCTTTCTTTTGTTTTTTTTTCTTTTATAAGAAAAGTATTGCCATTTTTACTGCATTGACTGCCTGACTACATGGTAATGCCACTTAGAAAATTAAATAAGAAAGTTTTGTGAAGGAAAGGCCACCCTATACAACAACACGACAATAACAACAACAACTACAAATTGAGGTTAAATAAAATGCAAAATACATTTTCTCCTAACAAACTTTACGGAAAGATTCTTGCATTTGGTCGTTTTTAAGAAGAGCGAAAAATATCTGAAAAAATATAAATTTAAAATAAAATAATAATTATTACATAAAAATGTTTTTAAAAAATAGTAAGCAAAGTACAAAAAGTAATTTTTGAAGGCGAATACAAAAAAATAAAAGGCAAATGCAATACGAAAAATAAGCAACAAGAGAAAACGTAAATAAAACAAAAAAACAAAAACAATATCGCATACAATTAGAAGTCTTTGTTTGTGATTAAAATAAAAAATAATATGTAATAATGTATTAAAAAACAAAAGGGAAAATATAATTAAAAAAAAAAGAAGAAATTACTACAAGCAACTTACTACGCATTTACCAATATATGTATATATATATGAATATATTTATATAAATATATACATACATATTTATATATATATATATATTTATATATATATATATATTTGTGTGTGCAAATTGTTTAAAAATTTTTCCCATCTTGTTTGTTATTTTTTTTTTTTACAACCCATAAAGAAAAGTGCTGTGATTGTTGTAACAAAGACCTGAGAACGGCAGCAGTAGTGGTTGAACAAAGAAAAGTTCCAAAAAGAAAAATAGATATACAAATTTTTATATATCAACTTTTTAAAATAAGTAGATTTTGATTAATTATTCGAAAATTAAAAAAAAAAAAAAAAAAAAAAAAAAAAGAAAAACCAAACAAAAAGAGAAACTTAAAAAACTTATAATTCCTTTTTTTTGAAATTTTCAGTTTTGTTTTGTTGTTTTTTTTTTCTGTTGTGTTACATTGTTTCGTTTTCCGTTGCATATAAGTATTTGTTCTCCATGTAATGCTAAATTTTAATTATAAAAAAATCATGAATTCTTTTGGAAAAAGTATTCATCAACAGCGTAACGATGTAAGTTTTTTTCTTTTTTAAACACAAGAAAACAATCATTTTATATCTTAATTTATTGCTCCATATTTCACCAATATAAAAAAAATATGACAAAAAGAAGAAAATTATTGCAAGTGGTTTGCTTGTATGTTCGATTAGTTAGTTTCTTTACTAGAAAAAAAATATCTATTTTCTTTGTACCAGGTGAGACCCTCGCTTTGCAACATACACATATATATAGACCCTTGATTAGCTTGGTTAGTGGATATTTGTGCCGAAAACTTGATTTTATTCACAAAACCCTGGCTGGACGATTAACACGATTGATTTCGAATGTTCCTTATTGTAGTCTTACCAGGGTTAATTCAAAAATCATGAAGATAAAAAACGGAAATGCTTTTTCCCTTGTTGTACCTTGAATTTGTAAGTTTTTTTTTTTAAGTATTAGAAAATTCCCCAAGAAAATCTCAAATCAAGTTTTAAAAGGCATATAATGTATTTCGAAAATATAATACGCCCACGGATTTACGTCACTAACCAGTCCCAGACTTTCATTATAAGGATCAATTTGATTTAAGTCAAGCTGCTTGTCTGCCTTAGGTCTACTAATGTGTGTTTGCGATACAAAAGTTAAAATTAAAATCTATTAATCAATAATTAATACGAATTAAAATCAGTTAAGAGTAAAAATGAGTTTTCTGCCAACAAGACTATGAAGTCTCTTCCCTGCACAAGTGACACAACAAAAATAACATTAGAGTAATTCTAATGAATTTTATAATGAAAAAATTAAACAAAATGTACGTAATACAAATCACATTCAGAATATTAGAAAACCCCGGTGGAACAGTTCCAAGTCTATTTACAACAGCTTTGATAAAAGGGGTAGTGAAATCCATAACTTTATAGCGTTAAAAAAAAAAAGTCTTGATGATCTTAAATGTTTATAGCGGGGAAAAATTAAGTTCATCGTACGTGTATAACTGACGAACTGGATTCTTACAAGTACAAGTAAGTCTGTGAATAAAGATAGGATCTCTGGTCATCATGTGCATCATGGTCTAAAATCTTTAGGGCAAATTTCGTTGCGTTGATCTGCCGTATTTGCGTTTATTTTGACTTGTTGTGAAGAGATTTTTTTACATTAACCTTTTTTGGCCTGAATCTGTTAAAAATGGACAGGAGCGAATCACTTTTACAAGCAATCGACCTGTAATGAATTGCTTATCTTGAGAATACCATTACATGAGCAAAGTTCGCAAAGTTTTGTAAAATTCTCAAACCAAAAGTGGTCGTGCAGAGTAGTACGGAGGCTATTCTCTTTCTTCATACAAAACGTAACCTTTTAGATGATAAAAAATATGATTTTCAATACTTTCGTCAAAGGTCAAATGACTTACAAGTTAACAGGATAAATAATCTGAGTTGGATAGACGTATAGCTCCCAGAGAGATTGTTGCTTCACAGAATAATAAACTAGAAAGATCTTCTTAAAAGATGAGAATTAATCCTACTAAGTGTGGACAATGTCAGTTTGCGTTTTGCTTTGGATTCTCTTGTCTATCTGAGAGCTTGCATTAAACTTTTGGCATTACATGGAAAATTTCGCTGAAATGCAGGACGAATTGTATTGTATTTGTACAATTGGACGGTTATTTTAAATGTGATGTCAAATGAAAGTATTTTTCAAAATGTGGAATCGATATATTGAGCGAAGGTATCTTCTTTCCATTCATCATCTAATTGTCGTACTAGCAGTTAGTGGTAAGTGATAAGAAGATCCGACCAAGACCGAATGTAATTACTTTCTTGTTTTTCTTTCTCTGTTCTCTACCAATTTCTTTGTTTGGTAGAAAAAAGCTCGTTTAAACTCGAATGTTTTTGTATACATCTGCATATATGTACGAACGCAATACAATCTCGTCGTACTTGTCCGTATGTTTATAGCAGAGAGATACATACATATTTAAAGTGTATATACACACACACACATATATATATATATATTAAATATTTGACCAATTTAATGTCTCGAATTGATGGATATTAGCTTTTCTATAACTTTCGTAACTAATCTCGTTACTCGTCGAAAAAATGAGCGAAAAATTGATGTAAATGTTATCGGGAAGAATTACCCACAAATTTATGCACTCGTTATCGGAATAAAATGGCAGTGTTGTCAATATATTTTTCCATTTCTATACCTAAGTGATAGGTATCCAAAATTCGCCCTAAAGTCGGTCTTCACTTTTATTTTACAGTGCGATAATTAAGATAATGTTAAGGACCCCTCTCTTTCTCTCTCTCTCTCTCTCTCTTCTCGCTCTTTTTGCTTAAAGCTATGTTAATATGAAGAGAGACTATTAACATTTTTGTTGCAGACATCCTTTGTTCCTTTTTTAGCTGTATTATCCTTATTATTACTGCTTTTTCGGTTTGTTTCAGCTCTGGGATAATTTGAAAGTTCGTAACCCGTCTTTGTTGTCTTCCAAGTTCTTTGTTATTTCCCTTTTCATACTTCTCATACCTAGGAGATAATAACAATTTATTTATCTTCTCTTTGCGATACGCAACAGAGAGAAAAATTCTATTCAACTTTAACTGAATATTTAAGTATTTACCATATGCTCCTGCCTTACGTTTTATCGTTTAATATTTTTTGTCGCCTTTGGAATACGCATACAATAGCCTACATATATTCAACTCTAACTAAATATTTTATTATTTGTCACATGCACTATCTTTCATTTTATTGTTTAACATTTGCTTACCTAAAGGAAAAACAAACTTTAGTTCACATGACAGAGTAAATGGAAAGTAAAAGTAAAAAATTGCCAGTAATTTCAATCTTATTAGAGATTAAATGTATATGTAACTTTCAAATTTTTATTAGTTAACTTATTTGCGTACCATTTATGCATCACCTTCTTAACAATCGCAGATTGATTGATAGGATAGCATAACCAGATTTTTTATGTAATATATTCACATATGTACTATTAACTGGTATTAATGTCGAAATCAATGCAATTGATAAGAAAAATTTTAAAACAAGTTTGGATAGGTCGAAAACCGTGACAGAAGTAGGAGGAAAAATTTTTGAAAGAAATTAAGCAAATATCTATTAGAATTAATTTACCACTACGGATTTACAAATCTAGTATGTATGCAAGTCTATAATGGCATAGAATGTTATAGACGAAAATACCGAAAAATATGGGCGTTTTTCTATGCTGTGGACATGCGTTTAAGCAGATCACGTCAATTTCTTTTATGAGGGATGAGGGATTCACATTCATTTTATCAAAGTGTTTAAGTCCCAGAGATCCCATTGAGTGCATGCATTCTAAAACGGTTTAACCATGTCCGTCCGTCCTGTGGCAAATGCTCTTCTGGCCATAAAACCGCAAGCTTAGCCAGCTTCAAATTCGACAAGAAGATTGCAAGTTCTTTCCCTATTGGTATTGAAATTGAGACAAATCGGTCGAAGGATACGGCCACAGTGCAACTTAACCGCTGATCACTCCTGTTTTCAAAAGGAAAAACACTTAGTTTCTTTCGCGTTACTTATAAACTACAACAGCTATCTCGTTAAAAAGCAATTGTGGAAAAATGAAAAAATAGTGGCCACGCCTACTTAATGTGTGTGTGTGAATGTGTACAACACATAGAAGGTCTTGATAAAGACGCGCCTTTTATTGTACCGATCAATTCAGAATCATATACTGAGCCACTTTTTAAATCGATCCAAGCTTGTCCGTCTATCTGTCAGCGTTGTTTTCGTGTGTGCATCTCAATGAAATTTGATGTAGCGACTCGTTTTCACGAAATGGTTTAGATCGGAGCTAGTTTACGACCGCTTCCCATATAGCGGCTTGTTTGAAAAGTTGT